AACTGAAATGCAAGGAGGGAGGGAGGGAGGGAGGAGAGCGAAATGGGGAGAAAAAGAGAGAAAGAAATTGAGAGAGGAGGGATGGGGGGATGCTGGCTTCTGACTACCCTTGAGAGTTGTTGAATTATAGTTCTCTCCTGTCAGCATGAAGTGTGGCCAGTCCTGCACAAAGCCTCTCACTTTAAACACACACACAGAGCACGGACCAATGAAAGCTGCCATGTACAGTTACCCCGTTATTGTCATCTGCCTGCTGCATGACTCCCGGCTTTGCTATAATTATTAATTGCACTTGTCAACTGTCATTAATTCCTCTTTAGCATCCCTGTCTTTGAGTAATTAGACAGAACAGCCTCACTGAGCTCATTGTTTAGAGTCCCTTGAAAGAGCCCACTGGGCTTTCTGTGGAGAAAAGCATTAAGAATACAATAGAGCACTTCTGAGTTAACCCTTTGCCGGTGTGACTAGAAGGGAAGGGCTTTGCAGGTTTGGGTGGCCTGCTTGGGTCTGTGGGCATAGAAAGTCATGGCTAGATACCTTAAAAACAGAGCCTATGTTTTAAATACCTCTTTTCTGTAGAGCAGGAGTATCTCAGTTGATTGAGAAGTCAGAGAAAGGCCCTAGGAAAAACAAAATGTCCTAATTAGGGTCACTGAATTTTTAATCATTTTCTTATTTGATCTGACGCATTGTGTTTTAGAGCGACCACATTTTTCCCAAAATAATTCTTTTCTACATTTAGTATATGCATTTTTATCTGTGTATTATGCAAAGAGGTTTTCCAGGTGATCTTCGATTTCTCTTAAGTTATAAATGTTTCAGGACAGGATGGAAGTGCCATTGTGAATTTAGCCTGCCTCCCAGCCTCCCACACAAGGAGTCATTTGATAGTACTTTTAATTGTACAACTGGTGTTGGTGAGTACATTATTGCACTTTATTTTCAAATGTCCATACTGAGAACCAAGCCATAGCTGGCATTTGGCCAGTGGCCTCTGAAAGGTCTCTAAACGTAGCCAGTCTTATCTGATAAAAGGAAAAACAGGCTGTATTTCACGTTGGAGAAGTAACTCTATAGGAGAATGACTATGGCATGAAGAAGAATTTTTAAAACTGTGAAGCCCCAAAAGTCACAGTTATTTTATCACTATTGGCTTATAAAACCAAAGCCCTGTGACAATGTTAAATTTATGTTTATAGTTTTAAACTCTTGGGCAATGAGAAGGAAGTCTAGTTGAGAACACGAATTATTTAGCCGTTTTCTCATAACACTGTCAAAGTAATATGAAAAAGTTATCTGTTAAAAGCGCTCATAAAGTAAAGATTCTTGATCTAGCTATTGAAAAGGAAAATCACAAGAATTTCACTTGAAGACAATGAAGGTCCATGGAGTAGTGCAAAACAGACTAAATTTGATTACTCAGAATTAGTAGTTAGTTCCTGTGTTAACTACATAATTTTTTCAGATAACACGTGAGTACATTTTAGTGATATTTATTATTGTCTAGATATGTACTCTATGTACTTTATTTACTGCTCAAATCTCTGTAAAGTGGGTACTGTTATCTCAATTTCAGAGACAAAGTGACAACAAGTAGTTACAGAAGTTGTCCGTGACTGCACAGTCAGACAATGGCGGGCAAGGACGGGTGACCCATAGGCCCCACTCTTTTCCAGATCACCATTCCAGAGCTACGGCATTATCAACTTTACATTCCATTCAACTGGTGATGCATCTAGATTTCAGTAGTGTTCCCTACAGCACAAAATAAATTAATATATCTGAAACACTTGCCATAAAAAGTGTAACATATAAATGCATGCTCACTTGGATAGCACATATACTGAAGTTGGAATGATGAGGACAAGATCTGCATAGCCCCATACAAGGATGACATGCAAATCCACAAAGCATTGCACAGGTCTTTATTGAGTGATTCAGGCTCTCTCCCAGAGGTCATTTCTCACCTTTTCCCCAAAGAAATAAACAAAGCCATTTGCACCTTAAACCATAGATTCCCCCCCCCCAGGGACTTTGAATAGTATCCTATGCAATATGTCTTGTGGCACTAATTTACTTCTACAAGCATTGCAACATATTTCATTGGGATATTTTAACCTGCTAAGTGTATGTGTGTGTGTGTTTTGTGTAGTCAATGAAACTTTAAATAAGCAAAAGCAAAACATCCTATAAGTATCTAACAAAAAATTATTCTGGACATCTTAGAGAGTTGGCATTCAATGTGTGTGTGTGTGTGTGTATGTGTGTGTGTGTGTGTGTTTGTGTAGAGAGAGAGAGAGATAAAAAAATATGAGTATTACAAATGTTGCAGATTACACCAGCTATCCTTGGTCATGATTATTAATGTGTCTAAAAACTGGGTTAGAATAAGAAAAAATATACACGTATGCACAAGTACACACATACCTACACACACACACACACACACACACACACACTGAGCAATTAGCATAGTTCACTACATTGTTTACTGAGCATTTACTGCATATCTAGTCTGTGCTAAAAAGTATGTAAGGCACTGAGGAACGTTAAATAAACTATTGGGGCCAGCAGGTGGTTTAGTGCCTAATGTATTGGACTTCCACATAATCTGACCCCAGTTTGAGTCCCAGATGTGGCAGCTTCAAATTCATGCCATGTGTATGCATGCATGCCCAAGATCCCAAAAGGAGAATGGAGGAGAAGGGATTGCAGTGTGGCTATCCTCTCAGGGGGTGATTTCTTACTTTTGTCTCTTTGTCAAGCACACATGCCCTATAGCAAAAAAAGGAAAGATAGAAAAAAAAAAAAAAGAAACCAAAAAACAAACAAAAAACTCTCTTTTAAAAAAGTATAAATTATGATTTCTAACTAAAAAAAAAGTTTTCAGAATTTCCAAATACAGAAGCTTGAACACCATACAATTAACATTTTGCAAAGTGAAAATGGAAAAAAGTCAATGAAATATATTACATAAAAGAGCTAGGATTGATGACAGGCAGTTACTAAAATTTTGATTTACTAAAAGGAAAATTTTGATTTACTGAAAGGAAAACTTTCTAAGTGTTAGAGGTGTCCACAATGAATCAAGCTGATTTCATGAGTAATGAATACCCATCACTTTATACTTCCAAGTTCGGCGATGATCTACATAAAACAACGAGAGCGAATTTCTGCAGTAGATGAAAGATTGGATTAGCTTAAATACCAGCCAATAGCACCTTGCATATCTTAGATCTCTTAATTCAATGAAATAAAATTTCAGCAAGGAAGGAGAATTTATTTTTCTTTTTTTCTTTGTTAAGGTTTTGCTAAAGGGCCCAGGTGCTCACTGGAGAGACAGTGAGCAGGAAAGAGAAATCAACCCCAGGGGGATGGCCATGCTACAATTTCTTGTCCTCCACTCTTCTCCTGGGATTTTGGGCATGCATGCATACACGCCCAGAGAGACTGTCAAGCCGCCAGGTCCAGAAATCGAACCATAGTCAGCCATGTGGGAGTCCAGGACCTTAACCACTATGCCACCTGCTGGCTCCTTGCTTGTCCCTTATAGAGAAAACATCTTGAAGAAATTTGGTATGGAATCAAATATTGGAAGCTACATTGGAGATTGAAAAGTAATCATGACAGTGAAAAGAAATTTCAAATAGAATTGTAAGCAAATGGGGCCAGCAGGTGGTATGGTGGTTAAGGTGCGGAAGGAACTCCTACATGGCTAACTGCAAATCCTGGACCTGGTGGCTTGGTTTCTCACTTTCTCTCTCTCTCTCTCTGTCTGTCTTTTTCTGGTCAAATTAAAAATAATAACAATAATAATAATAATAATAAATAAAATTAAATAAATAATTCATTTAAAAAATTATAAGCACAAAGCAGAGGCATAGACATAATAAAATGGAAAGATAAGATTAAAAAGGCTCACCTCATTGACACGCATGGTAACTGGGGACCAGGGTGGAGGGAATGATATAATAAAGAGTGGAGAGAAGTAACAGAATAAAGGCTTTATCAGTGAAAGAGAGAGAGAGGCAAAAATCAAAGGAATATAACGAAGAGGTATTTTCACTGATTCAATAGTAAGATATGAGGTTGATGAGGAGAAGCATGATAGATGTAAGGTGAACTAGGAGATGGCTAGAATTTGGTAGTGAGTTGTTTGGGGAATGAAAACCTAGTGTTTACTACTAATTGTGTGACCTTAGATAAAGTTCTTGATCTTCTGCTAACTCATTATCTTTATTGTAGGGTGGTTAGAAGAGTTAATCCATGAAAAGCATTTAGAGAAGTGCCTAGCACATAATAACTACTCAATAAATGCTAGCTATGATTATTACAAGGAACCCATCACTAACCAATATATTTTAATTGGTGCCTATTGGGTATAAACATGTTAGAGAGGAAGAGAGGTCATTTAGGATGGCAGACTTTTCTGAAAGAGCTGCTCCAAAGTAGAAAGGACTTCCTCCACAGTGACTTTTTTCATTACAGTGTTTATGGTAAGGAGGGGAAGCCATCTATCGTAATTTCAAAAGAGGTTTTCTGCAAGGAATGGGAAGCTGCATGACATGTCTCCTCCTCTCTGTGTCTCCCAGTGAGCACATGTACCCTCTGGCCAAAAAACAAAGAAATACAAACAAACAAACAAATGTAAACTGTGGAAGTGTAGAGAAAATACTACATTTTAAAGAAAGAACAAAATCTGTATAGCTAAAGCAGGACCATACTTTAAAACCGTCTTTCATATATTCACTGTTTACCCTCTGTGGTGCTTCAATTGCCGTGACCAACATTTTTAGCCGAAAAGATGGTGGAGGGACTCAGCCTGAACAATTTGGGAGCACAGGAAACATTAAGGATGTTGTAGTATAGTATAGTACCCTTTGGTAGAATTTATGTACTTGGATTTATCATTGCTACCAACACTCATTCACTAAAAGCACTTACACAGTTTCTGATAGGGAAATTCTATTACATTTTACTTTTGGTTTCTTGAATTCCAAAATTCACCTCAACCTACCACCCAATCCAATGCCACTTCACACACTCCAGAGAGATGGTTTAGACACAGCATAGACTCAATATTGACCCATCCTCTATAGAAGAAAGAAGACAATATTATCTTATTCCTTACCAATTATGGACGAAATTATGCCTAAGCTCCTTGAGTTGAATTTAATGACCTGAAACTTACAGAGGTATGTATCACTAATATTTCTATGCCAAATTAAACTATGCAGTATTTTTAGTCTCTGTGCCTTTAAGCATACTTCCTCAATCCTCTCTTCATTCTCACTATTCAAGGCCTGGTCTAAAGACCATCATCTTAGCTATCAATGCCTCCTTAGAGTCTTACTTCGACTCCACAGTCTGCCTCCTTCATCTCCTGTCCGCATTATCTCTCCCTTATCTGACATATAAACCATGGCAGAGAATATTTAAGAACCTATGACATGGGCAGGTCTGTAGCACAGTAGTTAAGCCCTGTGCATGGGAGCCAGATCTTTCTAGTTAACCACAGTTCAAATTCTGTCTCTGATGACTTGAATTTGCTGGGTATATGATCCTGACAGGATCTCCTGGAGAACTGGAGGCAAAAGGATTGTAATATGGCCATGGCCAC